AGTTCCTGCCTTGTTAGGATGAAGGTATAGATGTAAAAATGTCGAACTTTTAAAATTGAGATATATCACAAAAGAAATAGCCCAGTAAGTTTTCACAGGATGAAATCATACATCATATGTGCTCTTGTTTGACTTCTTTTGATCAGCATTATGGTTGTGAGATTCATCCATTTAGGTTGTTTCCAGTTTGGGGTCATTTAAATAGTGCTGATCTGAACATTGTGGAAATGTTTTTTGCTGCACATATGGACACATTTTTGTTGGCTGTGTACCTAGGAGTGGTATACATATGTAAAGCTTTAGTAAATACTGCCAAACAGTTTTCCTAAGTGCTTTTATCAGTTTACACTCCCACCAGTAGTATATGTGAGTTTCTTCACACGCTCTCTAACACTTAGTATTGTCAGTCTTAATCTTAGCCATTCTGGTGGAGGTGTAGCTATATCTCCTCAATGTTTGTTGGCCATATGAACAGGGACTTTTTTGTAAAGTCCCTGTTCGAGTCTCTGACTTATTGTTCTTATTAATTTGTAGGAATTATTTATATAATCTGGATATGAGCCCTTTGTTAATTCTATATGCAGAAATACCTTTTCCCACTTTGCAGTTTGCCTTTCACTCTGTTACATATATCGTCTGGTGAACAGACATTATTAATTTTTTTTTTTTTGCTGAGGAAGATTCGCCCTGAGCTCACATGTGTTGCCAATCTTCCTCCTTTTGTATGTGAGGTGCTGCCACAGCATGGCCGCTGACAGATGAGTGGTGTAGGTCTGTGCCCAGGAACTGAACCTGGGCCACCAAAGTAGAGTGCACCTAACTTAACCACTAGGCTGCTGGGGCTGCCCCCGACATTCTTTTTTTGTTTGTTTATTGTGGTAACATTGGTTTATAACATTGTATAAATTTCAGGTGTACATCATTATACTTCTGTTTCTGCATGGATTACATCATGTTCTCATGTTCACCACCCAAATACTAATTACAATCCATCACCACACACATGTGCCTAATTATCCCTTGTGCCCTCCTCCCTCCCCCCTTCCCCTCTGGTAACCACCAATCCAATCTCTGTCTCTGTGTTTGTTTTTGTTATTATATACTACTTAATGAGTGAGGTCATACCGTATTTGACCTTCTCCCTCTGACTTATTTCACTTTTCTCTTGCTCTCTTCCCTTGTGGTTTGATGGCTTTCTGTAGTATTATGTTTGGGTTCCTTTCTCTTAGTTTTTTGTGTATTTATTATAGGTTTCTGGTTTGTGATTACCATGGGGTTCATATACAGTAACGTACGTATATAGGAATCTGTATTAAGTTGATGGTCTCTTTAGTTTGACCTGAAAAGCTCTACTCTTTAACTCTCTTCCTCCCTCATTTTATGTTTTTGATATCATATCTAACCTCTTTTTGGTGCATTTGTATCCATTACCCTCTTATCATGGAAATAGATACTTTTTCCTATTTGTGGTCTTCTCTTTTCCCCTTAAATAAGTCCCTTTAGCATTTCTTGTAGTACTGGTTTCTTGGTGACAAACTCCTTTAATTTTTGATTGTCTGGGAAACTCTTTATCTCTCCTTCCATTTTGAATGATCACCTTGCCAGGTAGAGTATTCTTGGCTGTAGGTTTTTTCCTTTTAGCACTTTAAATATATCATGCCACTCTCTACTAGCCTGTAAGTTTTCTGCTGAGAAGTCAGCTGATAGCCTTATGGGGTTTCCTTTGTATGTAACTTGTCTTTCTCTTGTGGGTTTTAGGATTCTCTCTTTATCTTTAATTCTGGACATTTTAATTATGATGTGTCTTGGTGTGGGCCTCTTTGGGTTTATCTTGTTTGGTGCTCTCTGTGCTTCTTGTACCTGGATATCTGTTTCCTTCCTTAGGTTAGGGAAGTTTTCTCTCTTTTTTTGTGAAGAAGATCAGCCCTGAGCTAACATCCGTGCTAATCCTCCTCTTTTTTTTTGCTGAGGAAGACCGGCTCTGAGCTAACATCTATTGCCAATCCTCCTCCTTTTTTTTCCCCCCCAAAGCCCCAGTAGATAGTTGTATATCATAGTTGCACATCCTTCTAGTTGCTGTATGTGGGACGTGGCCTCAGCATGGCCGGAGAAGCGGTGCATCGGTGCGCACCAAGGATCCAAACCCGGGCCGCCAGTAGCGGAGCACGCGCACTTAACTGGTAAGCCATGGGGCCGGCCCCTGATTGGTTCTTTTTTATATCTTCCATTTCTTTGTTGACGTTCTCACTGAGTTCATCCGTTCTTCTCCCAAGGTCGGTGAGCATCCTTAACACTCTTTGTTTGAACTCTCTGTCGGGTAGGTTGCTCATTTCTGTTTCACTTAGTTCCTTTTCTGGGGTTTGGCTGTTCCCTTACTTGGAACGTATTCCTTTGCCTCCTCATTTTGCCTCTTTCCCTGTGCTTGTGTCTATGTATTAGGTAGGTCGGCTACATCTCCTGCTCTTGGAGAGGTGACCTTATATAAGTGATGCCTTATGAGTCCCGGCAGTGTACTTCCCTCAGTTCTGAATGTTCCAGGAGTGACCCCTATGTGGGCTACGTGTGTCCTTCTGTTGTGGCGTGGTTGCTCTCCCTGTAGGTGCCCAGGGAGGCTGAGCTATGCCCGTGGCCAGCTGTCGTAATGCTCAGCTGTTTGTAGTTGTTGTGGGCCCTTCACTCTCTTTATCGGGTGTGGGGAGCACCAGCACAGTTGGCTACAAGTTCTGTTAGCACATTTGTGTTGCAGTATTTCTTTTAAGTGAGTAGGCCCCCAGCATGGCAGGTTGTCAGGCTCAGAGGCTTACAATTGCTATAAGCCTCCAGCCTTTAGGTCTCTTGTCAGCTCTCTGAGGATTGCAGCTGGGTGGGGCTGGCCTCAGGCACGGGAGCACCCAATTGTTACAGGCTTTGGAAGGTGGGGCAAACCCCCTATGTGGGTCTTGGAGAAGCACAAGTCTTCTGCAGCTGACAAGCCCCGCCGCCCACAGGTCCACACACAAGTCAACACAGTCCTGCCCTGTGTGCGCGCCCCGACCCCCTGAAGTGGACCCAGTCTCTCCAAGGTGGGAGCCCCACACACTCTACCACCGCCCCACACTCTCCGCCTGTTCCTTGGACCCACTCGCAAGTCTTCGGAGAATCCAGGCAGCTTACTTAGCAGGCCTACAAGTTGCCCGAGGGCTTGTTGTTGGGTGGGGTCAGTTCCTAGGGTGGGCTGCCTGCCCTGGCTGAGCTTGATTAAGTCGGTGCTCTAGTGGTTGGGGCAGACCCTTGGCTAGCAGGCCCCAGGGAGAACTCCAATGGCATCTGCCAGTGTCTGTGTCAGCACACCCACACCAGGCCACAATAATGGCCACTGCCAATGTCCCGGTCCCTGGAGAGGTCTCACCTCTCACCAAGATGCACTCAGAGCCTATCAGGTGAGTCTCTTTTCACCAAAGCACTGTGCAGCTTTCTTTCTGGTGATTTTAGGTTGCTTTCTGAAACGGGTGAGTTTGGGCCGGCCCCGTGGCTTAGCGGTTACTGGCGGCCCGGGTTCGGATCCCGGGCGCGCACCAACGTACCACTTCTCCGGCCGTGCTGAGGCCGCATCCCACATACAGCAACTACAAGGATGTGCAACTATGACATACAACTATCTATTGGGGCTTTGGGGGGAAAAATAAATAAATAAATAAAATTATGAAACAGGTGAGTTTGCGCATGGGCCCTTTAAGAGCCGGTTTTGATTTCTTTGTGAACCAACTTTTCTCGGGGTACTCCCCAATGCTTTAGTAGCAAGCAACGTCAGATGTTATGCCACTCGTCTCGATTGTGCTGGGTCCACAAAATGCCTACAGCGGGGCACTCCCTGGCTCAGGGCCCCGCTCCTCCAGGGAGGGCTGCGGACCTTTGGGCTGCTCCCGGGTGGCCGTGAGGTGCTGCGGCTTGTGAAGGCGACGTTTTTCCTTTCCAGAAGGGAGTTTCTGCCTCTTCCACCTCGATTAGGATTGTCCTTTGTTGCAGGAGCTCCTCTTATCCAGTTTTCGGTTCTCTCGCAGGGGTAATTTTTCCAAGAGTAGTTGTAAATTGGCTGTATCTGTGGGAGGAGGTGAGTTCAAGTCTGCCTGTGCCGCCGTCTTGACTTCTCTCCTGTTTTGTTTTTAATAATAGCCATCCTAATGGATATGAAGTGGTATAAATGGGAACTTTTCTACCTGGAAGAAATGGACTGAGAGGGGAAATGTAGGAGCCTGTAGTTGTAAAGACTTCAACTTGAATGTGCACAGACATGGTCACCACAATCTAAAATTTTAGAATTTGGGCAAGGAAGATAGTCAAAGTATTTAATAGATAGCATAGCATAGGTATGAACAGTCCAGAAGGCCACCGGCCCTTCACCTTCTTCCTGTGTGCAGACTAAATGTCGGCTTGGCTGGGGACCCTGTTGAGGTAAATTTAGAATAATGAAAAAAATGTCTTCTCAGACCAGTTATGTTATCCAGTGATGGGGACATACGCTCAAATGTAAACACTTCTTTAAAAGATTTAGATACTTGACTAATGGGTGATGAGGAAAACGAAGAATTCTGTATAATTCACCCCTATACTTTTGAAGTTAATGTTAGAGAAGATGCTTGTGCCTCTGTTCCTACCTTAAATTTAACCTACCATCCTGCATTTGAAGCTCTCTGGCTCCTCCTGGAAGTCCTCGTGGCATTCACAGAAGAGTAAAACTGCTATTATAATTATCTAACATTCAACAGATATTTACTGTACACTGACCCTGTGCCAGGCCTTGTGATAAGCACTACAAATAGAATGGAGAGCAGAGCAGACCCTATCTTTGTCTTCATGGAGCTACAGTTTAGTGGCCAAGTCAGATAATTTATCACACAAATGGATTTGTAATTCCAAACTGTGTTTAGTTCTTTAAGGGAAAAATACCTGAGATATTTCTCTCCTTTCCTTTAAATTGTTCACACAACTACTGTAAGAAATATGTTTTCTTTTCTCTTCAGGAGCCTCCAAACAGGTGGCTTTGCCTGGGAGGGAGAGGTAGAGAACAACGCGTACAGCAAGGCTACAGGGGTGGTCCCCCAGCACAAGTATCACCCCACAGCGGGCAGCTACCAACTCCACTTTGCCCTGCAGCAGCTCGAACAACAAAAACTTCAGTCCCGGCAGCTTCTGGACCAGAGTCGTGCCAGGCACCAGGTAATTCAAGATAAGGCTTTTCCACGTACTAATATCTTCCTTCTCTCGGAAACTAAAAAGAGGGCCAGGGCGAAACGTAGGAATAGTTTCCCAGTGCCACCATGACTTTGATGGGTCATGGGGAATCTACTCTCAGGGAAGAAATGTTTTGAAGCCATAACATTGGCTTTTCTGGAAGATGATGCTGAACCAGTTTTGACATTCTTTCTTTCATTTGAATGTTTCTGCATAAAAATCTCTATTGTCGTATTTACCCTTTCTGTTGGATGATCGTAGTTCAGTAATTTCCCAAAGGGTCTAATTCCCAGATACCTAAAATTACCTAGCATTTTAATGAATTTTTTTTCTAAATGTACTAATTCCTTATCTTCACAGACTTGGAATACATACCCACATATTAATCCTTCATGACCTATCAAGATTTTCAAGGAATAAATAATTTTCAAGTTCTTCTTGTAAGAAATGGTCAGAAGTTAGGTTATCGGTGTTCTGGTTTGACAGTTTGTTCAGAAAACAATGTACACAAAAATGTAACAATATACACAAAAATTCTCACTGTTGTGGAACTTAACACTCCAGTGAAATATTGATTCTCTACTCACTGTCCATAAAATGACAGAAACTCCTGAGCATGTGTGTGAAGAAGCTAGATAAGTAAATTGCACTAGTGTATCAGCATGCCCCCAATTACAGAAAAAGGATGACTTCACACAAGTCAGGCCATAAAGAGTTAAATTTTTCTTGCTGATTTCAGGATTATCATTAGAATCAGTTACCATGTTCTATTGGGCTGAATCAGTACTGATTCTAGGAGCTTCCCTGATATTTCATTAAGTGAAGAAACATCTATCAGCTTGATTTCTTGTCGTTTGCTCTTTCCTATAAAAATGAAGTACATAGTGTACATTAGTTTGTGCAAAATTAATAGTCACTCAAAAGCTAAGGCAGCATTTCCCAAAGTGTCTTTTTCCTCTAAATAAAACAATTATCATTATGCTCTCTCTCTTTACTTATCTTTTCAACTACTGTTCAAGTCCAGACATATTTTATTTCAATATCATTCATCACTTGATCATCTTTATCTGTGATAGTGTACTCTGTGTATTATATTAATTCATTGTAGTTGAGCAATTTCAAGTGAGGCATTGTGAAGTAGTTCTTTAGGTCGTTTTTACTGGAGAGAAATCCAGACTTGTTATCTGTAAAGCGTGGCATGTAGCATCTCATTCTGATCACCACACTGCCCTCTGTCATGTAGAAATTTCCTCACTTATTCTTGGGATAGTGAAGGCATTTAAGCCAATTTGCATTTTCACAATTGCAGAGATAAATGTGTATCTTAGATTTTTTTTAACCTGTGTAAATTTTGTAAAATTTTTTAAGCCTCTGAACTCCCCATCATTCAGAGTACTTGAGAATGCCAACTTAATCAGATGCTGGAGAATAGAGATATCATATATAGCCTTATTTCCCTTATGAGAGTATAATCAATGGCTCTAACAAATCTAGACAATTGGGCCCTTTCAATGCTTTCATACTTGAAATAGTGGATGATTTTTTTAAAAAGGAGGCAATTGCAAGGCATTGAAGTTTTGAGGAAGGAGAGACAGTTTTGCTGATTTTCACTTTTGGAAACTGCTTCATTTATAAGTCCTTCTCGTTCTTTTGATTAGCTTCCAGCAACTCACATTCCTTTGAAAATTCAGAGTACTGCTATTCTTGTGTGGGTTTTTTTTTCACTGAGGATTACACTGGTTTAGTTTCACCGAACTATGAAGTATATAGAAAACATGTTTTTTAGAATCTGTCAGAATATCTATCTTAGAGAGGAGTCAGAACTCCCAAGAAGGGAGTTATCTTGTGTCTGCTGGAGAGGGAACAGAAAATCATTCATCATAATTTTATATATGTTTATAACATCATTTTATTTCTTCCCCCTGTTCTTCTCATCCACAGTTGGTTTAGGTAAAAATGAGTAAGGGTGAAGTTCTGGGACTATAGGGGAGAGCTAACAAAACTACGTTTTATTAGCTTGAAGAGTTTATAACTAATAAAATAGCAAATAAGATATTAAATGTTCTAACATGAAGAATAACTTAGAACACTTTATTTCAGGGGACATTAAGAATTGCTCCACAGAAGGAGCAAAGCCCTACTGGATTTTATGCTTGTTTCTAGCCTAGCTTATGGCCATGCTAGACTTGACTGTTATAATTATCACCAAATTGTTGATTGAAGCATGGTTTGCATTCTCAGTATGTCCTGTATATCTGTCATTGGGTTAACCCTTTAGATAGAGATGGTTTCTCTGATGAACTCCTTGTGCTTTGGATTCATTTTTCTAAAGTGTAGGTAACCATTGATGTAAATAACAATTTGGTTAATTGCCTGTTTGAGAGCAATGGATACAATTGAAATCTGGTTTACCTAACTTTCATCCACAAGAGATCCCTGTTTATGGAACAGGACATTAAAGGGGGCTTTATGTGTATGTGTGTGTGTGTGTGTGTGTGTGTATATATATATATGTTTTTTGGTGGGTTTTTTTTGGTGAGCAAGATTAGCCCTGAGCTAACATCTATTGCCAATACTCCTCTTTTTGCTGAGGAAGATTGGCCCTGGGCTAACATCCATGCCCATCTTCCTCTACTTTTTATGTGGGATGCCTGCCACAGCATGGCTTGATAAGCAGTATGTATGTCCATGCCCAGGATCCAAACCTGCGAACCCCAGGCCACCAAAGCAGAGCATGCAAACTCAACCACTATGCTACCCAGCTGGCCCCAAGGAGGCTTTCTATTATATATGTTATTATACTGTACTATGTTATATTACGTTATATTATCATAATTATGTGCATAGACAGTGCCTTTCATTGTGATCTCCTAAAAATGTTTTGGGACAGATCGTGTAGCCTTTCTTGCGTTACGTGCAGTGGAAGTTCATCCTTTTCTGCACTTAGATAGCCAGCTTATTGAAGGTATTAACTTTAAGAAGGCAAACTCTGATTCAGGATATGAGTTTGGAAATGGGCATCTCCAACCATTCATGCAGAGTAAGCTTTGACCTCCATCTCTGTCTAGCATTGCACTCATAAATCTAGAAACTGTCATGCACTGAATCCACCCCTACGAAAGACTGGTCCTATAACATAGGCGTGGGAGAGGAAAATCACCCAGAGCCATTGGCAGAGGTTTCGAGGGACAGAGGTACAAGGAAATAGGTGTGATCCAGTCCATTTGATAGAAAGCATGATAAACAAAATAAGACAAAATTGAAACTATGAGCTTTTACACACTGATGGATAAAACCAGCAGTTTAAAAAACCATTGTTCTAAGTCAGAGCAGGAGTCAGCAAACTTTTTCTGTAAATGGCCAGATAGTAAATATTTAAGCTTTTCAGGCCATAGGGTCCATGTGGCAACTACTCAACTCTGCCATGGTAGAGTGAAAACAGCCATAGACAATATGTAAATGAATGGCTGTTTTCCAATGAAACTTTGTTTACAAAACAGGCGGCAGGCTGGACTTGGCTTGCAAGCCCTAGTTTGCGGACCCCTGGTTTTGAGCAACAGAACCACTTGGAGGGTCTGTTAAAACACTGATTGCTTCCTCTCCCCAACTCTGATTCAGCATGTTTGAGAATGGAGCTCAAGTATTTCCAACAAGCGCCAGGTAAAGCTCATGCTGCTCTTCTGGGGACCACACTTGGAGAACCATTGAGCTATAGGGAAAGAGATTCCAAATGTCTCCTCTTCATTATTTGTTTTCTCTCCTTTGGAAGGGAGACTGGATATGTTAAAACTTAGTGTTGCCCTTATGAAATTTCAGGCAATCATTTTTTTATAGGAACTTTGTTTCCCTCCTTTTCACTCCATCTACCACAGTCTCCTTGTAAATAAGTTTTCCAAACTTAAAAACCTCCTTGCTCATTTTTCTTATCAGGGTACATTCTGCTCAGCAATCACTGCTTCCAGGACTCAAGTTTTATGGTGGACAAGAGATAAGTAATGGGACAGATTCCTCCCTCTTTGTTTTGCTAATAATAGCCAACACTTAATAAGCACTTACTGTGGTTCAAGCACAATTCCAGGTGCTTTACGTATATTAATTCATTTAAAATGAGTTTCAGGATGGTTGAGGAAATTACAGAATCTTGATAGTCTAGGGATGGTAAAATGAATCTGTTATGTGTTGATATATCCTGATGTGTGTTTCCTCTCTAGTTTCCCTCTTTGCTTCCTGCTTCCTTCTCATACTGGCTTCCTGCCCCTAAAGGAGGAGAAAAAACTTTCCTTTCAGCTGAGTCGGGGGCCTTTCTTGGGCAGCAGTGCCTGCTGGTGACATCAGCATGAGTAGCCCTCCACGCTGGGGTCTGTGAGGAGGGCTGCATGGCTGTGAGGCCTGACTGACCTGATTCTAATTGCTGACACTGAGCTGATGTTATTCTTGGCCCAGGACAGCACGATTACTCAGTAGTTTCTGTTAAAGTGATCCTTTGTTAAACTTCTGCTCCCAACCCCCCTCTCCTTCCCTCCCACTCTCTTCTCTGCCTCATCCAGACTGAAAAAAGCCAAAAAAGCAGAAAAAATAAGGACATTTTGATGGCCAAGGCAGAACTGCTGAAATTTCTTTTAACAACAGAGGAGGAAAGGGGGAGATTTTAAATACATCTTAGTTTTTCACTGGTTCCGTTCTCTTTCCAAAGGCCTTCAACTTTTAGTAGACTTAATTTTCAACGTAGTAAGGTAACTCAGAGTAGAAAACCGTGCCTCCTAAATTCCTCTCATCTTTCCGCTCCATCTGTTCTTTACTTCCCCCCTCCCACCATGCCCACTTTTACCAGACTAACCTAGATTCAGTAAGTGCCAGCAGAGACTAATGATCCTATAACAAGCAGCCCAGGGGCAGCTCAGTGTTCACCCCAAGGGGTCTTTCAGTATGGTAGTAACATCTTGAATGCCATATGTAATGAGCTTTTTGCTAATGGTATGTGTGTG